ACTAAGATATTTTCAGGGTTAAGCTAATTTCTGTTGAATTTAAAAAAAATATCATATGGACAAAGATTTCCATTAAAATTTAATTGTATCGGAACAGTTAGGATCAATAATAACAATGACAGTTCCTGCTGTTTCAGGTTGTCACTACAGTAGATAGAAATACAACCCAAAGACCTGAATTGATGTTGTCAGTGAGATGGCAGAGAAGATATTGATGGTATTACCTATTAAAATACTGGGTGGATAAACCTTTAAAGCTAGAAACATGTTCATAGTCACAGACAACTTGTAAGTGGTGAATGAAAAGCCCTGTTTTAAGGAGCAAGTCATGGATGAAGGGATGCGAGCAGAGAGAAGGAGGCTCAGCAGAAATCCTTGTTTTATGCTGTCGTGATTTCTTTGTTGGGCCTGATGTAAAACGGTGCATTAATCCCAGAGTTCTCAGTTGTTTTGTGAGAATGCAGGATATAGGATTGTAAGACTCCAAATAAGTAATTTATCGTCCGTTCTCCCAAACTTCAGGCCCATGATATCCGCACAAATGAGGTGGTGGCGATCAAGAAGATGTCCTATAGTGGCAAACAGTCCAACGAGGTAGGAAAAACTCTAATCCTTCATCTGTTGTAGAATCTGTGAGGTTTTTTCATCAGTGATTCATGTTACAGAAATGGCAGGATATCATCAAGGAAGTGAAGTTCCTCCAGAAACTACGCCACCCCAACACAGTCGAGTACCGTGGCTGCTACCTGAGAGAGCACACAGCATGGGTAAGTGTGAATGTGGAGGAAATTATGCTAGATAAAAAAAAAAAAAGAATATAATTAACAGCATAACAAAGTCTACAACAATCAAGTCGAGAACAGACTCACTTATCTCACTGCTGAAAGTCACTAAATGTTTTCTTTTATATGGTTATTTAAAACACATGTTCAGTAGTTACACTACATGGATGGAATCCTGGAATATTAAAGGCCTTATTGGCTGTCGGAAAAAAAAATTGGAGCACGACAAGACATTCTGCAGAAGAATAGAACCAGAGGAACTAAACTCGGGGAATAGAAACTTGAAACTAACCCTTTTCTAAGCTGAACAACAGTTTCTGCACTTGAACCCTCTCGCTTTAACTTAAACACCCCTCTGTGTCTCACAGCTGGTGATGGAGTACTGCTTGGGCTCCGCCTCTGACCTCTTAGAAGGTAAGTGGGAACGAACGACGAGTCAAATGAGTGATTAAAAAACACTAATGAGTTCATTTTATGTTTCAGTTGTTGGTGTCTGATATCTCCTAACATCTCTCGTCACCCAGTTCACAAGAAACCCCTCCAGGAAGTGGAAATAGCTGCCATAACCCATGGTGCATTGCAGGGACTGGTGTATCTTCACTCTCACAACATGATTCACAGGTAAGGCTCCAATTTTTTTTTTCTATCTGTTTCTGCTCTCATCCCCTCCCCCACAATTCTTACAAGAGACAAAACAAATACAGAAGAGAAAGCACAAACTGTGCTGCCTCAGAGGAGCTTATGCAATGGTGTTTCTGCTCCACACTGTGCAGCAGCACATTGAAGTGCATCTGACAATATATTCTCTCTCTCGTGTCTGTTTGTTTTGACTTCTCCACAGTTTCCCTGACTTGTCATTTTCTCTGATCTGATCATCTCTCTCTCTCTCTCTCTTTCTCTCAGGGATGTGAAGGCAGGAAACATCTTGCTCACGGAGCCAGGTCAGGTCAAACTTGGAGACTTCGGCTCTGCCTCTATTGTTGCTCCAGCCAACTCCTTTGTTGGAACACCCTACTGGTAAGACGCCAAACTTTTCACCCTCATCATCAGACGATGGTCTGACAACAGTTACTCCTGCGGGTTCATGAGAATTACACCACGTGTTGATCCAGCAAAGCTTGTACCTTTCTCATGTGTGTGCACATCAGCTCTGCCAAAAACATTCATACACTAATCACTGACAGACTGAGTTTTCTTCATCACTATGTCCTCGTATCATGACATACTTTTTTCCATGTTGTGAAAGATTTCAGTCGTGATTAATGTGTTGATTACTTTGTACTAATCTGCTAGTGCAGGTAAACACTACAGGTCCCAGAGTTTTTTTATAATATTAAAACAATTAACCAACAAAAAAATTCATAGATCGCTCGATAATTATAATGACTGTTAATAAATAAAAGTAGTAATGGTACTAATAGGAGTAATACAATGTTGCTGTATAATTACTCCATTTAAATGGATAGGTGGATATTGCTTATAGGAAAAGAAAAAAAAAATTCAAAATTTTTACAACTTCAATATGAAGTGAAATGAAAGCGACAACAATTTTTGGGGAGATGACTCGGCTTTACCCTCAGTAACGTTTGTATCTGCCCATCTGGCATAGACGTTTGAAATAACAGTGAATCCAGAAGCGCTCCAGGGTCAAAGGAATTAGGCTGAAAGCGGCTCAATAGCTTTGTTGTTTCCTCTGTGCAGGATGGCCCCTGAGGTGATTCTGGCCATGGACGAGGGTCAGTACGACGGGAAGGTAGATGTGTGGTCACTTGGCATTACCTGCATAGAGCTGGGTAAGAAACAGCAATAAAAAAAAACTCTGTGTGTGTGTTGTGTACACAAGGCTGAAAACGTTCAACCCTTTTCTTTGCTTTCTTTTTTTTTATAATTGCTCTTTATCTGCCACTCTCTCTGTCACATTATGTCGTTCTCTCATTCTCTAGCGGAAAGGAAGCCTCCTCTGTTCAACATGAATGCTATGAGTGCCTTATACCACATCGCCCAGAATGAGAGCCCTGTGTTGCAGTCAAATCACTGGTAAGGTGGTGAAACTAAGAAACACATGACTTATGTTGGGCAATGAGATAGAATATGCAAAGATTTTGTTATACATTCTACTTTTATTGAGGCTCTCTCATATTATTCATAGAATGAATGACATGTATGAGATTGCCAGAAGATCTACTGGGTGTATGGATTGATTTTGTTTTATTAAAACTGCTGATGAAGGAAAAATTATTAGTCTGTTGCAGTAAATTGACTTAATGCAATAAACAGGTGTTTGGTACCTGGTGCTTTCAGATCTCAGTAAATTAAAAACATGTGTTAAATGAACCCTGCAACAACTGCTGTGTTGAAACTCCTGTAGAATGACATTTTTATCACTTTCAGGTCGGATTATTTCCGCAATTTTGTCGACTCCTGTTTGCAGAAGATCGCCCAGGACAGACCTACCTCTGATGTGCTGCTCAAGGTACATGGATGAATATTTTGTATTAAGGCAGGAAAAAATACATGTGATTGTCTCTTTCTTAAAGATATGTTTTTATAATTAAGCAAAGTGAAACATGAGTAAGAAAAGCTTTTACCCAGGTCTCAGATTGTTGAAAATAGAAGAACTTAAATAACAAATCTAATTTGTACTCAAAATAATAAATTATCGCCACATCGAGGCAGAGGAGCACCAGGTTCCAAGAGCATAATGCCTGGAAAATGAACAATTCAATTCAGCTTAATCTTAATCATGTGTCTCCAAAAACTAGCACCTAAGTAGGATTGAATAACATCTCTCATTCTCTTGACCTCTACGCCCCCCAGCACCACTTCCTATGCAGAGAGCGTCCCATGACAGTCGTAATGGACCTGATAGCCCGCACCAAGGATGCTGTCCGGGAGCTGGACAACCTTCAGTACCGGAAGATGAAGAAAATCCTCTTCCATGAGGCGCACAATGGTCCCGCACCGGAGGGAGGTGATGAGGAAGAGGTAAGAAGGGGACAGACGAGCAGAAAGATGCCAACAGCTGCAGGGAGGTTGTAAAGTTAGAGACTCAGACTAATGGAATAAATATCAAATTTCTTACTGTAAGTTCACTGTAAACATGGTTTGGGCTCATTTTTTTTGAAGTATCAACTGTTTGCGATGCCTCAAAGATGTGCAAGGTTTATACCATTTTCTTCCACAAACGTGAAACAAGAACACTTGACAAGTGTTGCGGCCTTTTCTGTTTTGTTCATTACTTCGCGTTTCTTGTAAACATCAAATTGAAATTGCGAAATCCAATTTGCACACTTCACAACCTGAGTGTCCTGAATAGTAATGTCAAAAGTTTGTCGGACTCCAGTCAAACAAAATAAAGAAGTACCGGCTTATTTGAAGAAAAACCCTATAAAAACCTTTTAATTTAAAGAGAAAGACTATGAACCAAGGTCTGTAAGGGTTGTAGCATCCCTCCTGCCTTTGTATTGTACTTGTTAATGTATACTGTGACCTGAGAACCTCCTTCTCTCGATACAAAGGCCTTTGTTTCCATCAGCATTTAATTCCAGTTGGCTGTTCCCCCCTCAAAAGGAAATGGAGGAATTCAGAGAATGTGGTGCTGCACTTTTTGAGAGTGAAAGCTTGTGTCTCACTGCAATTTTTACGATATGGTCTGCCCAGAAAGGGTTTCATAGAATTTTCATAGGATATAAATGGGTCAATACACCCACGACTAACCCTAACCCGACTGTTACCATATGAAGTAAAAACTCCTTTCACCATCCCAAAAGGTTTTACTTCACCATAGCCATTTTCTAATGTCTTCCATTTTTTGAAAAATCTTTCTGATAATCTTTTTCCTGAACACCAGGATGTGGAGCAGTATATGCTTCGCACCGGCACAGTCAACAGCATGGAGAGCTCCCACTCGCTGCCATCCATGTCAATCAGCGCCAGCTCCCAGAGCAGCTCGGTCAACAGCCTGGCAGACGGCTCTGATGACAGCGGGGAGATGGCCATGATGCAAGAGGGAGAGCACACCGTCACCTCCAACAGCTCCGTCCTGCACAAACCCCTGGTCAGTTCAAGTGAATTCAGATTGAGCCCACACTGACTGCAGATGTTTCTCAGGGCAAGTTCCTCTGTAATCATCTGACCTGCTGAGCACATGGAAACTTGCACCACCTACAGAAAAAGTAAAGTAATAGCAGCACCAGTTTAGACCTGGTTGGCCACCTACAGATTAGCAGGCTCATCAGACCAACAACAGAAGCTGTAGGTTTTGGTGGGATTTCACTGAGACCCAGATTTAGTTAAATGACCAATGTAGTTAATTTTCAGTGAGATTTAGTTGTTTAACAAGTAGGGATGAGGAAATAGTTTTTTTATGATGGGATGTTGACGTGGACGACTCTGCATTGATGCAGAGACAGAACATAATCGACTCATGTTTATCGCTAGTTTCATTTTATAGCGATGCTGCTGCTGATGCATCAATAATCGTTTTATAATTAAATCGTAGCCCTCTGCATCGGAATGGAGATTCCCATCCCTAATTACCAGTCAGTTTCTATCCTTAAAAGACAAAGCCTTTTGATACTCATCCTCTCCCTCTCATCTTTTTCTTTTTGTCTGCTTGGTCTCCGCTGTTTAGAGCCATGACAACATCTACGATGATCCCTATCAGCCAGAGATTGACTCACAACGGGAAGCTTCTTCTGCTGGTGTTGTTGTTGTTGGTGGTGTTGGAGGTGGAGGAGGTGGAGGAGGAGGAGGAGGAGGGAGGCGCCGTCGAGGAAGAGACCATTTTGCCACCATCCGGACGGCCTCGCTTGTCACTCGCCAGATTCAGGAACATGAGCAGGGTTCGGCCCTGAGAGAGCAGATGTCTGGGTGAGACGATGATTGTGAAACAGTAGTAGGGTCAAGTAGAGCAGAAATTCCTTCAAGCTCACTCGACTCCTTGCATCTCCTCACAGGTACAAGAGAATGCGGCGGCAGCACCAGAAGCAGCTGATGGGCCTGGAGAACAAGTTGAAGGGAGAGATGGACGAGCACCAGCTGAGACTGGACAAAGAGCTGGAGAATCAGAGGAACAGCTTCTCCATGGAGGGAGAGAAACTCACCAAGAAGCACCAGGCTATTCTGGAGAAGGAGGTGAGCTGGAGAAGTATGAATGAGTGATAGAAGAGAACAGATGGAGTAGTTGGTCAAGTAGCTCGTGGCTGAAGATGTGGAATGAACAGGAAGAGAATTACACAGGAGAAATCACTACACCCTTCGTGGCTATGACATGTGCTTTGTAACATGCAGTGATTTCCTAATGTATGGTTTCTCCAGACAAAGGCAGTCCTGACTGAGGAGAAGAAGTTCCAGCAGCACATTCTGGGCCAGCAAAAGAAGGAGTTGACCAGTTTGCTGGAATCCCAGAAACGACAGTACCGACAACGCAAGGAGCAGCTCAAAGAGGTGCCTCTATGTCACTAGTCAGCTGACTAACACAAAAATAAACTTTCTGATCATTATTCTAACGAACATAAGTCAAAATAAGTGATACTCTCCTGCAACTAAATGAAAACAGGTATCTGATATCATGTTCATTTTACTAATACTTTATTATGTGTTTCCACTGCAGGAACTGAATGAGAACCAGTCAACACCAAAGCGAGAGAAACAGGAGTGGTTGGTGCATCAGAAAGAGTGTATGCAGCAGCTACAGGCGGAGGAGGAGGCCGGCCTGCTGCGACGGCAGAGGCAGTATTATGAGCTACAGTGTCGCCAGTACAAGAGGAAGTTGGTGCTGACACGCCACAACCTGGAGCAAGACTTGCTGCGAGAGGTACCTGTTTGTTTTTGATTGGCAAAACATTTTACATTAAATTGAATACAATTCAAACACCATCAGCATCTGTGTTGTTGCCAGATTTCTAGTGTCATTTAAAATATTTATGTGTGAAATGAAATCACACTGTGGAAATTTCAATAGAAATGTATTAGTTTAGTCCTTCCTGCCTCCTCCTCATCCGTTTATGTTCTCTAGGAATTGAACAAGAAGCAGACTCTGAAGGACCTGGAGTGTGCCATGCTGCTGCGTCACCATGAGTCCACGCAGGAGCTGGAGTTCCGCCAGCTGGGTTTGGTGCAGCACACACGGGCCGAGCTCATCCGCACGCAGCACCAGACAGAGCTAACCAACCAGATGGAGTATAACAAGAGGCGTGAGCAGGAGCTGCGTCAGAAACACGCGGTGGAGGTCCGCCAACAGCCCAAGAGCCTCAAAGTGAGTGAGAGCACCCAGGGCCAGGGGTCTCCTGAGGAGGGAGAGAGCCAGACAACCGAGGGGCCGAGCAGCAGCTGGGACAGTGAGGCAGGGGTGGTGGAGGTGGAAGAAATAGGAGAGGAGAAGGAGGCGGTAGCTAAGGAGATAAATCATGTTGAGGTTGACGGAGGAGATAATGTGATTACAAGAGTAGAAAAGGAGGAAGGAGAGAATGTCCCTGAGAGGAAAGATGAGGTGGCTGATGAAAAGGGAAACGATGACGTAGAAGATGAGGGTGAGAAGGAGGAGTGGAAAATCAGTGAAGAAGGTGAAGAGGTGAGGGAAGTAGAGGGAGGGCAGTGGGAGTACGAGGAGGACCACGGTAAAACTGCACATGTAGATTCTGATGAGGAGGAAGAGGAGGGCAGGGGCGTGGCCGATGGCTGTCCATCAGATCTCATCTCATTCCTGTCCCCAGAAAAGAGACGCGTCCATCAGCGGCAGATCGATGAGCTCTCTGAGTTTTATTTCCCCGAAACACCAGAGGAGCTGGAGCCCATACCCATTTCCACCCCTCCTCCCCCTCCCCCCTCCCAGACTTCCTTCCCCTCACTCTTCTCTCACGCCATCTGCCTCCTCCTCTCCCTCTCCGCTGCTGCTCAGCCCTCCAACCTCACTTTGCTGTTACTCTCCATCTTCCTCCTCTCCCTGCGTCGTTCCCCTCCTCTGCCCTCGGTGGCCTCTGTGGTTCTCTCCGCGGAGCTTGCCTTATTGGCGCTCTTCTTCTCGTACCTCTTCCTTCGCTCCTGCTGCTCTCTGTCTCTCTCCACGTACCTGTCGCTGAGCCTCTGGGCCAGCGGCCTCTTCAGTTTAGGTATCTCCCTTAGTTTGGGGATATATTATATCCCCATGATTTTGATCTCAGCCTCCTTCCTCAGCTCTCCCTCTCTCTTCCTCTCCCTCTACTTGGTGGTGGTGCTGATTGTCAGGCCGGCCCGTGACTTCCTCCAACACGCACCCCGCAAAGTCAACCGTCTCTGCATGCGAGTCCTTTTCCGCCTCCCCAGACCCCTGTTTGCCATGTGCCAGTCGGTCTTAGGTGGTATGGCTGAGCGTAACCTGTATGAGATGTTTCCCAAAGCAGGGCGCAACTGGGGTGTGCGTCAGTCCAAAATCCCAGTCCCCCTGAAGAGCTTACCTTTAGAGCATCAAGCTCGCTGCAGCAACACCTCTCCCTGGGCCAAGGGTCTGCTCTGGGTGAGGCGTTTCACTAGACGCCCCCTTGGGGTCCTGGCAGATCTTGCTAACTCTATAGTGCTAAAACTAGCCGGACAGGCGCTTCAGAAGTTGCCAGACAGTGTCCGGGTCAAACTCCAATATCTGGGTCTCTTGAGGAAGCACATCCCGAGTAGGTTGCCACGACTGCTGCCCAGGGAGGAGCGGGAGAGGAGACAGAGGGAGAGGAGGAGGAGAGAGAGGGAGAGACAGAGGAGGGAAGAGAGGGAGAGGATGTTTCGAGATGATGCCAGGTGGGAGTGTGGGTTGAGGCGAACTTCTTCTGGGAGGTTTGTCAGAGGGAAAATTCGGCCGTGGAGATAGCGAGAGAATAATCGAAGGATTGAGTGGGAATGTGTGCTGCTGGTGCGTCTGCGTGTGTTGATGCATGTGTGAGTGCGATCATGTTTTTTTGTTCCATTGTTGGACCATTGTTTGTGTCTTTTTGATTTGGACCCACGTGTCTTTTGTTACATGATTCCCTGACTGGTTTTTGGTCACATTTCTCGAAGATGAGTTATATTTGAGGCACAAACATGTGTCTGTACATTAGTGTGCGCTGGCTGGAGGGTTTTTTATGTCGAAGTTCATCCAAACAAGCGTGCACATGCACACAAGCCGTACTGTTTTATCAGTGGGCTCTGCAAACGTAAACATGCAGCTGACCCCACGGTTACTGTACCAACCCCAGTGAAATTTTAACATTTCATTATTGTGCTTTTTGTAAAAGTTCCTTGAAGTTTCTTTTATTTTTATTTTGCTCTTAATTTGTAAGACAAATGTTTTTATGGTTATTTTTAAGACCGTTTTTGTGCAATGGTTCATTTTCCTTTTATAGTGGTCTTATTTGATGAGGTCTCATTCGCGCACTGTTACCTTAGTGCTGAGAACAAATATCACAGTGTTGCGTAGGTTAATAACTACATTATGATTTCACTCCCCAAAGCTCAAAACTGTGAAAAAAGAAAAAAAAAAAGATGCTCAATAATTTCACTAACTTCAAGCTGAACACTAGCCTGAACTCAGTCAGTATACAAGTGCAATAAAAAGCTAAGGAGAAATATATGGAACCACTGGAAGACGTCTGATATTTCGGTTTCTTTTAGATGTCAAAGTGGTGAACAATTAGCAGGAGGACCTTTATAGGATAAGTGAAGTTGATTTCATGTTTAGATATTATTAGATATTATTTACAGCTCGTTGAATCATTATCTCTCAGATTGTAGTTGGATAAACTACTTTTATTGCGCTTTATGCAGTAATCTTCTTATGATTTACCATGTAAACATTTAGATTTTCCCTTAATCATCCTTTAAATCTACAGCAGCTGAGTGCCTATAGTTACATAAACAGTCTGCTGTGAAGTGACGTATCCTGCATTTATAGTGAACACATAAGAAAGCAGTTTTACTCAGCGTAGTAAAAGTATTATAATATAATAAAAACCTATTTAATATTGCAGCTAATCTTGTTGATATGAAGCCATAGACAATCGTTTGAGACATGCAATCGGAAAATCAGTCCAAAGATTGATGAAACTACTGAATGTGAATGAAGAGATCCAGATGTTTAATTTTGCACCGTCTCAAAGACCATTCGAGATCAATACAGGAGAACTGATCATCAGTTTATTGAAACGTTTATGAAAATCCATAAACCAAAGAAGTAAGTGAGTTTACATTGATAAATGAAATATTGTTTGATCTGAGAAGCTGGAACCAGAGAATGTTTCGTATGTTTTCACCATTTTTGCTTTAAAACATTCATGAAAACATTAAATGATTAGTTCATTATCAATTATCCAAATGTAAATGGTTGCTGATTGATTTCTGTCAGTCAAACCGAAGAGAAAGAAGCTAATTGTTTGAATGAAAAACCAAAAGGCTTTTGAGTGCACATTTAATTGAGATGAAGAAAAAGGAAAGTCAGGCTGAAGTGTGTCGTGCATAGATCTGGGAATATGAAGATTAAAAATGTTGCAAGTCTACAAGGGAAGTCTAGTTAAACAATTCAAATGCACCAGTGCTTATAAAAGCTGTAGAAGAAAAAGAAAAGTGCCGTCGTTTGAGCCATTCAATCTTAACTTTATCGTGACCCGGGCGAACAAAGAAGTCAGGCACTTCTTTTTATGAATGAATTGCATTTGGGTAATCTAGATTTTAAAAAGAAAGTATATTATTATTTGAATGTAATTTGTTTTTTGCCATTGATTTACATTTGTGTCCCAGTTATTCCCTGTTCCTTTGTGTATGTTTACATGTTCGTGTTTTGTTGTGACACCGTCTGTGTTTTGAGTTTCCACAGAGTTATATCACATTGACTTTTTTTTTTTTTTTTTTTTTTTT